GTTGCGAATAAATTACCATTCGCGGTTGCTTTTATTGTTAGAAATCGCGTTTGGAATTTTTCTATTATAAATTAGTGTTGCGATCTTGATTATCGCGTTTTTTATTTAGTGTTGCGATTCAATGCCAAAAAACTGATGCTGGCCACTGTTCCAAGATCATCAGAACGCAACTGGACTGCAAAGAAGAGCTCCACATCATTGTTAAAATTAGTGTTGCGTATTATTTAATATGGGTGCACGCGATATAATTAATAAAGCAACCTTGGGTGGTTCATTTTGCGAATAATAAGCACCTCTCGCGATTTTTTATTTTGTTAGCGTTGCGAAAGAAAGAATGGTTCACTCACGGGTTGTTTTTTGAATTTATGAGTGAACGCTTATTCTACGTGAAATATGTCTTCTTTTTGGATATTTGTGAATGGAAATACTGCTTGAAAGGGCTGTTATATACAGACCAAATGTTTCATTTCTCGTAATGTACATTTTTATCACGTGATGTATTTAAAAATGCTATATTATGATTAAATTGATTGTAGATTGAATTCACGATTTCAATATATACATATATCATTAATTATTTGTTAATAGAGTTGTTAATTTTTACGGGACATTTTCCAATCGCGATATTGATTTATAGTAGTGGATATTTTTTATAAATATTCGGGAATGTTGCATAGATCAAAGCTTGTTCGTGATCGCTGTTTCAACGGATGGAAAATAAAATGCTTGCGTCAAAAGTGCGTGCAAATTACAATTCGATATTTCATATTGAGAGCTCATTTCCGCGTAGAATCGACAATTTGTGTACGTAATTGCTTTTTTTTGTATGAATCTTAATTAATTTTCAATGCAGTGAAATATAATTATTCCAATTTGCACGCCTTGACAAATTTTTCGATTATATTCAACATTGCTTTTTTTTGTCGCGCATAAGTATCTATCACTATCTATCAAAAGTGAAATTTAATTCGCGTATTTAATAAAAAGAAAATTCTTTAATTGCACAATTTTGTAACGAATGAATAAAATTTTCAATCCATTTGATATTTATCTTAACGTTGAGACGAATTTAACTTTTCGATGAACATGACTCTATCTTGACAGTATACAATTATTCTTTTCTGTGTCCATTGATATATTTTCATTTCAGCTTACTAATCCATTGATCAAGTTCTTTTTACAGAGTGTATAAGTATAGAAGACTAGAATTGGAAATGGTGAAAGTAACTACCAAGAAACAATATTCGAGTTTGATCGTTTCTGTGTCATACAATTCTATTTAGTTTCTGACTTTATGTTTCAGGAAAACATCGTTGGATCAATAGGTATCAAAAGGAAATTTCCCCGTATTTCTGTATTTTACGTGAGTTATATTTATTGCACATGAGTGTATGTTTCAGGAAAACATCGTGGGATTAATGAAGACATCAAAAAGAAAATATCCTCTCATATTTCTGTATTTTACATGAGTTATATTTATTGCACATGAGTGTATGTTTCAGGAAAACATCGTGGGATTAATAGACACCAAGAAGAATACATCTCGTCACATTCGTTCGTTTTATACGAGTTATATTTATTGTATATTAGTGTGTGTTTTAGCAAAACATCGTGGGATTAACGAAGACATCAAGAAGAAAATATTATCTCACGTTTCGTCATATTTGTACAAATTGCGTTTGAATTAAGTATAAATGTATATAGATTATAAGATAAACAAGCGAATAATCCAGCGTACTATCAAGTAGTTACCGAAATACAAATGCGCATATAAGTGGGGATGATTAATATTAAGGTACATATAAGTCCATACGTGCAGTTGCACATTTTTACTTCATTCTTCAGTGTCTGGGTAATGCACCATCGAAATACAAGGATTTGTACGTGCAGTTGCACATTTTTACTTCGTTCCTAGATAACATGTGGTGGTTTATCTCACATGTACTCACATTTTGTTAGGTTCTTGATCTGTTTATCAGTCAGAATTCATACGTGCAGTCGCACATTTCTATTTCGTTCTTAGATAACATGTGGTGGTTTATCTCACATGTACTCACATTTTGTTAGGTTCTTGATCTGTTTATCAGTCAGAATTCATACGTGCAGTCGCACATTTCTATTTCGTTCCTAGATAACATGTGGTGGTTTCTCTCACATGTACTCACATTTTGTTAGGTTTTTGATATCTTCATCAGATAGTTCTTTTGAGAGCTATTAGTTTATTGTTAGTTTCCATCAATGGTCACTTTTTGATCGCTTTTCTGTTAGGAGAAAATTTCCAATGGTGTTTGTTAGGATTCCTCGCCAAAGGAGGGTGGTTGGGGCGAGGCTGGGGCGGGTCTCCATTCGCAGCAACCTCCTCGTGGTGGGACCTGGGTCATTATTATTTACTATGTAATTAATTGTATCGTTTGTAACTGTATAGTATAATTATTTAATAATTAATTACATAGCAAATAATATGAGCTAATGGCTGCGATCTTTCTCGTATAGTTTAATATAAATATAGCTTTTTCATTGGTTCCAAAGCAATCAATACTTGGATCGTTTATCAAATCATAATTCTCATCAGATTTAGTTTTGAATTACATAGCAAATAATATGAGCTAATGGCTGCGACCTTTCTCGTATAGTTTAATATAAATATAGCTTCTTCATTAGTCCCAAAGCAATCAATACTTGGATCGTTTATCAAATCGTAATTCTCATCGGATTTAGTTTCGATTCTCATAGTTGGTGGCGCTGAGTTCTTATTCCATGCTGAATCGATAACGTTGGACTCGACATCGAAATGGTAACATGGAAATGGTGGAATCTAGGTATAGGATAGATTATGTACTTAAGCACAGACAAGTACGTTTAAATGTTGCCACGAAATGTTAATAGTTTTCTTTACAGTCACGAAAAGTTGTTTCGAGTAAAATATTATTTATACGGGAATTTTTGCAGAAAAAGAAAATCATTGCCATACAATATCGTTACAAAGTATTCCGATAAAAAACATAATACTTTCAATTACAATTTATACAGATTTAAAAAATTTTTTTTAAGAGTTATTGTCGCAAGTAGCGTTGCTCCGTATCGCTACAGTTGGTTGTATATTTACAGAGATTATCTTTAGTTCCTATGTTTGTCGCTAGATGCACAACACAGTGAACTATTGTATTATCTGAAATATTGTTGCAATTTATTATAACAAACAAAATAACAGTAATGAAATTAATTTTTAACATCATGTATGTGTCGCCTAAAATTTAAACAACGCGTGAGCATAAATAATTCAAACAGAAATTTGAGACTATAATTATTCATTTATTTTTTATAGACATATGTAATTCGATACAGACGTGCGGTTTGATAATGATTTATTGAATTATTCCATTCCTATTGCAATTTGCCAACATAATTCGTTTAAAGTTGCACGAATTCCATTACTAATTAATTTCAATATTCAAATTGAAGAAATTTTTTATTGTCAGAGTGGGAAACCGTATTCAACGCTGTTATTCCTACTCTGGTTGCGTTTGATTTGCGTGAGAAAAGACTGAAAGAAAAGTAGAACGTTTCATAAAGGGTTCGGGCTACGCACTCGTGAAACGTGCTTGCAATTCGAGAACGATATTTCTCGTATTATGGTGCGCACGCAGGAAACGAGCCGAGCAATGGATTATTAGTAGGTAATTGTTTGGTTTTGTGATCTACTTTCGAATTGGAACACAAAGCATCGATTTTGTTCCTGGATTAGAATGTCAAGGGAAAGCAACGTAATGTACGCGTAATGCTGTACTAACTCGAGAAGAAACGGTAGTCATTCCTTTTTTATTACAAGACTATATCGTTCACCATGCCTTCTGTTGTTCGCAGGCTTTTCGTGTTTGTTTACATTGACACTAAAATTTACGATTAAATATTTTTATTTAAAAAATAGCGATGCCAATGCTTCGTTGCACATTTACTTGTGAGTCATTTGTAAAATTAGGTTAGAGAGAATTACTTGAGCGATCGCACATTACCGTAAGCGAAGGTAATATTTCATCATTGAAATCAATGATCTCTGAATGCATATTTATTCACATTTTTTCTTTTTTGCGACGAATAGTATACATACGAACTATTTTATATGGCGGATCACTGCCCGTGTTCGATTTAGTTTATATTAACTGCATGGAATAATTGTTTCGATTTTAAGGGGCGGTTCTTGTATGTAGATCGTGAAATTAGAATTAATTTCGTTTCGACTCTTCTCTGGAATGCACATCGTCTAATGGAAAAGCCATTTTATTCATCTTCACGGTGACTAGATCGTGCTCATTGATAGTAGAATTCAAACTAACGCAGGGCCACCTAAATATCTCCTCTAATCGTGCTCGTGTCACGCAGTAAATAAAAATATTTTCTGCAATACAATTGTTTTAAGCCTCTTAACACTTTGACTGCCACGTCATCCATATATGGGTGACAGTATTTACCATTATGATACTAGAAAAATGAATTTTCAAGTTAAGACGTCGAGGGAAATAAATTTGGATGGAATTTGTTACGTAGCTTACAATGGTGTAAAATCAATATTTTAATCTTGCAGAATGTTAAATGCAAACTATTTTTTGTATCCTCACGATCGGTGGAGATATTTAGATGGCCCACCCTGTGTATCGTTGGTTCGCAGAAGGTCACCGGGAGTAAAATTGGGTGTGTTTGAGTATTTTTTATTATCCTCAGTCCATATCCGTGTATGTATCGCAGATCGCAGGAAGTCAGGCATATCAAAGTAGCTATCAGTCAGTAAGAGGAACGGGGCGACCTGTCGCGGGGGTGGGGAGGCGGTTTCGAGGTGTACCTGTCCAGGGTAGGGGCAGCCGGTGTGCCACGCAGAGAGCAACAACGCCGGGTGGTGGTGGTGGCTGGTGGGAGCCGTGGACTCGGGCGAAAGGGAAAATGGTCGGGCGAGCACTTTTTTTTTTTCTCCCCCATTTACACCCAGGTTTTTTGACACGGTCGTCGGTTCGATCGACTTCCATTTGTCTCCGAGCATTCCGTCGACTAACGTCCAGAACACGCGCTCCCTGCACCGGTGCGAATCGAATCCATCGCGAGGATGCGCGACGCCGCCCGTGCACGTCTGACCTAATCACGAGCCCGATTCTCGCGAGTTACCCGCGAAAACGCACTGCGTCGTCCAACACTTACGTCGCGGGAGTTACTCGGGTTTAAAGATATTGTCGCGTTCGCGTCGTCCCGTGATCGTTGGTGATCGTGATTTGTGCGCGAGGGCACCGCGAACCGACCAGGACGATCTGTGCACTTCCGGTCGACTGAAATGAAACATTGGATAAGGCTCGTCTAAGAAGTCGCAAGGTGAGCTCTGGACGCTGTCTTAGCTTTAGTCGTTTCGTGTCTTCGCGTGGGAAAATTCGTGACCAAGTTGTTCGAAATCAATTTATCGCAAGGTCGTGTTCTTCTCGCGACGGGGTGAAGAGATTTTTAAAGGTTGCTTTTAAACGCGAATCTCGTGGTTGGGCGATAACGAGGTAGTGTCTTTAAAACGTCTCTGTAATTTTTTACATTTTTTGGAGGTTCAGAAAATATTAATGTGATAAGCAAGAAGTAAATGTTTCCAACCCTTAAGATTTTGGCCCTTTTCAAATTTCAGAGGGGTTATCTGAAATAACAATAAATCTGTATGTAAAGTGGAGATAGGGAATTGCTAGTATAGTTTAGCGATTTTGTTTAAGTTACAGATACTACGAATTAATCCTTCGTTTCTGATGGTTTCTGATGGAATTATTGTAACAGATAATAATAGTTATTAAACAGTTTATGAAAAGATGATCGTTGAGCCTTATACTCTTTTACCTGAAGGGTCGATAACGTTTGTAGCTTTCTTTTTAAGACTATTAAATAAAACAATAATAGGATAGTATAATTGTATTTAACACTAGATTTACGAAAACCGTCAATTTGACGGATGTCAGATTCCATATTTAAAATTGCAGAACACGTAAATATTATTTTTTAACAACTTATGTTGAATTTGATTGATGTAACGGCATGAATACATATTCTAATTAAAAGAAAAATCGTATTTTAAGGTAATCGTCAACATGAAAGGTATCAATAAATATACATGCGATCAATGCCCGTAAATTTAGTGTTACAAATATTTTTCCAAAGATTAATTTGATTTATTCTAAAGAATCACGAGCTTGTAGAATATTTTCGAGAGGGTGGTAGATAGTTCGAGCGCACCATCTGACAAGTTCAAAGGCTGCAATAATGGTTTTTATTATATAGTTGTTTTAACATAGTTATAAAATATTTTTGAGAGTGTGTTAATTGACACAAACGCACTTTCCCGGTCGATTTGAACGCGAATATTCTAAATAATATGTTCTATATAATGTGACACTGTTATCATCAATCATACTTCATTTGTCTATACTGACACTTAGCAGGAAATTATTGTTGCTCATGTTTGACGTTGATTTCACGAGAATTGACGCATCCCGATACCAAATTTGCATACTAATGGCACTTCATGCATCAATCAATTATAAAATACATAAAATTTCATTATTATATTACTTACAGTGAATCAAACTTGATACGTGACCCAAAGAACCAACACCGGGTTAAAAATTATACTCAACTGGATTTTAAACGTGAAAACAAGATTAAGTCACAAGTTAACGTATTTAAGATCAATGCAGCAAAAGTAAAATCAGGTTTTGAATAGGTGTAGGTCGATATTGAAAGCCATCGATTGCTGAAGATTAGCACTTTTCCTATTTATCACCATATGTGTACGAACCGGGAACGGTGCATTGATTTTATATAGAGTATTGTAAATTCTAAAGAGGTCAATCGTCTTAGAATTTTAATAAAAAGACAGTCGACATTCCAGAACAAATATGAAAGTTACGCTCAATATACAATGAACAATTAAATTAAGCTTAAAAAATGTAGATAGTGGGTATGTGACTTTAGAGTCATGTAGATTTATAAAGGATTAACAAACTATGTTTAACAAAAAATTCGGCAATTTTATTATGCATTACGTCGTCGATTAATACACAATATATTTTCGGTAAAGAATTTTTTTCTCGAAAGTCCGTAGGATTTCGGGGTTATGTGTATTCACCAAAAATAATTGTAATAGACCGCCGTAGCCGAAAATAATTTTTTCAGATCGATTTGGAATTTTTTAATTTCGTTGAAAAATTTAAGCACTTACTCGAATTTTTTTCTAGAAAATGGGTAGGATTTCGGGGATGTGTTTATTCACCGAAAATGATTGCAATTAATCCCCTTAGCTAAAAATAATTTTTTTAGAACGATTTGGAACTTTTTAATTTCGTTGAAAATTTAGACACCTACTCGAATTTTTTTCTAGAAAGTGGTTAGAATTTCGGGGGTATGTGTAATGATCAAAAATAATTGTAATTTACCCTCCTGGTTAAAAATAATTTTTTTAGAACGACTTGAAAATTTTTAATTTTGTCGAAAAATTTCTCCACCTTCCTGAATTTTTTTCTCGAAAGTGCGAGGGGATTCGAAGGTATGTGTATTCACCAAAAATGATAAAAATTGACCCCCGCAACCGAAAATAATTTTTTCAGATTGATTTGAACTTTTTGAAATTTCAGGGGAATCGGAATGTCAGGATCAGACATTGTAGTTTGGGTAAAGAATTTTTTTCTCGAAAGTACGTAGGATTTCGTGGGTATGTGTAATGACAAAAAATAATTGTAATTAACCCTCTAATTCAAAATAATTTTTTTAGAACGATTTGAAATTTTGTAATTTTGTCGAAAAATTTGTTCACCTTCCTGAATTTTTTTCTAGAAAGTGGGTAGCATTTCGGGGGTATGTCTATTCACCGAAAATGATTGCAATTAATCCCCTTAGCTAAAAATAATTTTTTCAAAACGATTTGGAACTTTTTAATTTCGTTGAAAAATTTAGGCACTTACTCGTATTTTTTTCTAGAAAATGGGTAGAATTTCGGGGTATGTCTATTCTCCACAAATAATTGCAATTAACACTCTTCGCTAAAAATAATTTGTTTAGAATTATTTGAAATTTTTTTTTCGCGGTAAGAAATGCACCTATCAATCTGTCTTAAAAATTCGTTCTTCATTTTTAATAAATTTGTTCGACGGTGTACGGAAATTGTCTAAAAATTGGGCGATTACATAGTTAGAATTTCATTTCTATAGATAAAATAGTCCTCGTAAAATTATAATGTATCAATTTCTCCGCGAACGGTCGCGACTGAAAACGTTGGCGGGAAAACTCGTCGCAACGACGGTTCGGTCAGGCAAAAAGGAGCCGTTCCAAGTCGTTGTTCGGTTCCGCGATCGCCAGGAACCGGCTGGAGTTGCAGAATATTAACCGAGCCGCCGCGGAATTAACTGACCGTTGCCTGTAACTCGGTAGTCCACTTTCACGTGCGCAAACTTCCAGATGTTCCCGTCGTTTCTTACGTAAAACTCGGCTGGCCAGAGCGGACCGTGCCGAAATGATTGTCGCGGCGCGACCGGGGAATCCGTGGCCCGGTGCTCGCCGCGAATCTAATTTGTCACGGAGCCTTAAATCGAACAATAACGCTGAAAATGATCCCGCTGGCCAGCGACGCGTGAGCCCGCGCGTTTAGGATCGTTCGTTTCCCCGATTATGTTCAGGCTTTCTTCGCGACGAACTTCCACTCTCACGTTTCGTTTACGGAGACAACAATAGGGATAAGTGATTCGTTAATGCTCGATGGTCGTTAAACTGTGGAAATGTCACACTTGTCTCACTTTATAACGCGTAAGATACTCGAAAGACACTGATACGCGTTGACAGATGCACTGTGAGTCGAAAGATATACGGAAGCTCGTATGTCAGGTGCCATGAATGTATTATTTAGTAATATTTGTCGATTCTGGCTTGTTAGATCCCATTGGAGTACTCGAGAGTTCAGTTTAATTTCCTGACAATGTATTCTTAAAATATTATATTGGAATTGAAATAAATTACGAAGTGCAGATTCTCTGAAGCATAATCCCAAATAACTCGATTATTTTCACATTTGAAGTGGGCGATAGCTAAATGTATTTTGGAGTTTCATTTAACTAGTTAAGCATGATTAAGTGTACCAGATTCGAATTGACTGTTCTTAATTTTATTAATCGTTAATTGTTGCACTGGATGGTTTCTAAGAGTCGAAGCAATGACCAATGTAGCAGATCGATAGAGTTACTGGTATTAAAAGGGTTAACGGATTATTGTCCGCATAGAGTAAAAGGAAAACAAAAGCTTCCGGTTGCTTTTATTTTCCAGCTCAGCTCGAAGCTTCACAGTTGATAAAAAAAAAGATGATAAAAAAAGGATCTACTGTTGCCCGCCCGAGCGTTCATCAGTGTCTCCCGTCCACAGGAAAAACAAGAAAGACTAAATACTGTGTCAAAGGTCCCTGTCTTTAGTTCATCAAAGCACTTGGCGTGTCATTGACATCCCAGTTTCTAATTGTAGACACTGGTTATACCAGAGATATTTTCTTTTTCTTCTAATTCATCGTTTACTATCAGTATTTTATTAAGTATCGTATCAAATGTGAAATAAGAAAACTCTCTTGTGCAGGAGTTATTCAGCAATAATTACTTAATTTTCTTTCCAAAAATACCAAGTCAGCTAAAAATTTCCAAAAAACGAAATATTGCAATTAATTTATCTATAGAAATTAGGAGTGAGAAGAATATAATCTTTTTCAACCACATTTCAATAACTATCTAATTTTTTCTCCAAAAGTACCAAGTCAGTTAAAAATTTCCAAAGAACGAAATATTGCAATTAATTTATCTATAGAAATTAGAAGTGAGAAGAATATAATCTTTTTCAACCGCGTTTCAATAACTAATTTTTCCCCCCAAAGTACCAAGTCAGTTAAAAAATTTGCAAACAACGATATATTGCAAAAATGAATTTATCTATAGAAGTTAGGAGCGAGAAGAATATAATCTTTTTGAACCACGTTTCAATAACTATCTAATTTTTGCTCCAAAAGTACCAAGTCAGTTAAAAATTTCCAAACAACGAAATATTGCAATTAATTTATCTATAGAAATTAGAAGTGAGAAAAATGTAATTTGTTTGCATCACGTACACGGGACACTTGTTTCAACGTTACCGGTTGCAGGAGCGATGGTTTATGAAATATGTGGACGTTGACTTTGTTTGGATGAGCATTTAGCACCGGGAATGCAATTCATCGAGGCTGAAATATTCGAGTATTTGTTCGGGTACGGAATATGCTTCACAATCGCGAGCATAACCCGATACGTGCAGTTGTGTGTACCGTCGAGGAGAATTTACTTTCGATTCGCGCGTAACCGATTCGTGCGCACGAACGATCGTGGAAAGGAATCGACGCTGAAACCGTGCTCCCAAGAACGTTTTTAGCCGACAATCGTAATACGTTATGGACGGATTAATACGGTCACCTTTCTTCGCTGTAACAGCGACGTTTAATCGTTGATAAAGACCGTTTTTAGCGACGTTTCTTCTCCGTTTACTATTATCGATCGAACTCCGTCAGATTCGTTCGTGTATCATCTTTAGCAATTTCAGATTACAGATTGGAAAGGTTTTCCTGCATGTGAATGTGTGCTGCCTACGTTAGTATCATACAGGGTGTCCCGTAATTTGCGATACAACTTCAAAGAAAGCGATTCGTTGCTCAATAATAGCTAAATTACATGGAATTGAATTTTTTCGCAAAAGGGTTTTTCGAAAATTTAATTCGACAGATTCATACTGGAGTTTTGAATAAATTTCTGTTTAAATCTTTACAAGTAGACGGAACATCGAAACTGAAACTTAAACCGCGTCTGGAAATAGAGAAGACACGACAGGTTTGTCAGAAGCGATAGTCGTCACACAAGAGTAATCGTTAATTCATGTTCGCAAATGCGAAACGAACGAAGGGTGACTCATACCGAGATCTGTTTAGTAAAATTCAATCGACTGTGGAAATCTGTACCTGGCAAACCATGCAATCATTTTTTTGAAAAACAAAGCCATTCGCAACGAATGCTTCGATATTGCGAAATTTCATTCTTCCTTTCGATTGTGTCGCACGATACGAGATGTTCCGTAGAAGGAATACGCGATAAAAATAAACGGGAACTAATTGCATAAATTAAGCTGTAAAAATGCTTGGAAATGCAACGAACGTTTCAAAGCGAAAAATGGGCAAGCAGAGCTTGAATGGGCGATGTTAATGAATCGTAATGCAACGCAATCGAGTCTAACGGTATTTCGAGTACGGTCGTCGATCCACGGCTGATCTTGATCTTCCTCCACTACTCGTCGATCTTCGCCGCGGAGAAAGAAAGAGGAACGAGAGAACACGATCATCACGGTTCTCCGCGTACCTGTGAGACGATCTCGTTAGATCATCGTTTGTTGAACCTTGAACGTTTGGAGACCGGTTTTTTAAACTGTCGATTTCTTCTATTCAATGCTAATATTTCTTTACTCTGTCAAAATTTGCTGTCGATAGTATACAAAATTGCGATCTTAATTGTAGACAATTTTTTTAGAGAATATTGAAGTATATTTTATTTAAAATTAGCAGATATTCGTAGAACAAATATTATTTCGAACAGTGCATTAAGTTTGCCACGCGACCTGACCATTCTTCGACAATCGATAGTCTATTCGATGTCTCGGTTTAGCAAGCTTCAACCCAGTTAACTTTGAGCCCTAATTCCAGAATTAAACGCTGGATGTTCCATTTAAACAGATGATACAGTGTGTCGATAGAGAAGGTAAAAAAAATCCTATCATGCTTCGCGTCGCAACATTTTTTGTGCAAACCGATACATTTCACTTAATATTAGAAAATTTATTTCACAAATCGTTCAACGTAAGCGTTTCATAATATTATAAATACTCGACGAAAGAAACGCGAGTACATTTACTCGGAGGATTTTATTTAAAACTCGTTAAGAATCGAAGGATTTCTAAAAGTAAAATAGTAATCGAAGTTCCTTGACATCGAACGGTTTGATGCATCGTTGATAGTAATTCACCTTCGGTCCATTGAATTTTTCTTTGTACCGCCGGCAGGGGAAACCTCGAGGGAAATGTTTTCTCCGTCATATTTTCTGCTTTGAGCAACCCAGTTCGTCCCTGACGAGTATTTTCGTATACTCATAAAACGGCTGAGATATTTAGGTGTTCCTATTTATATATCCGTTTATACATACTAGCCAATATAACAATCAAAGCGTATGAATATTTAATAATTCTGAAAAAATAATAGAGCCAAGCTCCACTCGACTTTGCTACGAACTTGCCAATAGTGTAATAGAATATTATCAGGATCAGGATTTTTTGCAAACCGGTATGGGTGGTGTACATTTGGGAAATGTCACGACGGATTCAGGTTTTCATTAAGCAGAGCGGGGACGAGCCACGAGCATTTTTAAACCTTTTCTGCTGGCACGAAACAAACCTTGGCCTCCTTTCGAGATGTTACCGTTTGATACAATGGAAATATCCGCGACACGGTGCACGATTGGAAAGTTTAAAACCACACGCGCGCAATAAGAATTAAAAGTAAAATTGCACTCGTCGAGATATCGAAGAATTCGCGGTATTATTGCACGACCAACTACCAGCCCCAGTTATTTTTATTCGAACGACAGAGGGACGAAGGCGTTCCGACACAATAACGTAAGATAAAAATAAGGATCGATCGATCTTTTTGATATAGACACAAAGGGGTAATTGCGTATTCACCCTTGACGTTGTAAAAATAACTGGTACAAGTAATACAAGAACGTGGGATAATTTAATATCAGAGGTAATTTCGAGAAGACCTTTCTGTTGCCCGGTGCAGAAATTACTCTGCTTTAATTACGTTGTTAAGTGGTTCCAGTGGCGAAGCTGTATGATCTCAAAAGTACACTCTTGCGTGTAACACAGTTGTTGAAAATTAGAGCCACCGTTAACGAATCTGGAACTATACGAGCAAAGGTCGATTTAAATCTAGGAGTCGATGCTCGACTTTTGTACATTTACAATTTTAACCCTGTGCACTCCTATGTCGAGTGTGATTCGACGTCAATTTTTATCTCAGGAGCTCCTTCAAGTCCCACTTGACATTTTTTCAAGTCCAAACCAAAGAGATATCGTTGAAAATTACAAAACACAATAACAGTGTAAATAAAACGGATATTTTAACAGGTAAATTTCAAATAAAACACTTAAAGGCGTTGGAAGCTGCTGGTAACAAAATTGAAATATAATTCGGAGTGCAAAGGGTTAAGATTGAATAAAAATTCCTTTAATCCAAATTATATCTAATACATATATATTTCAATTTATCTTGCATCGGTTTAGCCATTATTAATTCGTGTATTTATTGTACAGAATGGCGCGAAGATTTTCGTGGTGCACGTTGGTGGCATTGGTGGCGCTGCTTTTCGTCACAACCGAAGGTCTTCGTGAACGCAGTACTCAGGTGAGTTAATTGAAATAATAAAAAAAAGAAATCAATTACGTCTCAATTCTGTATAAATACATTTGGATATTTTCGTTTTACAATTACATGCTGGTTAAGATCACCGTCAGTGTTATTTGCGCAGCAAACAAGGTTACATATATAAATTGTGTTGTGCAATGTATTGCTTAATGGAGATTTCGTTTTACGACTATAAATGTTATTTTGCAAAACAGGTATGAACAGCGTTATTGAACATTCATTCGAAGAGTATATTTACCTTTTGTCGTCTGTATTTACTTCCAGAGCAACGCTTCACAACGTTAAATGAGTATACACAAGCAATGCAGTTAAAGATTTCGTTTTATTCAATAATCAAAAAAATTAAATAATCGTTTTTAAAATGAGAAGAAATTGTACAAGAGTAAACAAAACAACGACCTGGTGCTGCAACGACGAAATTAAAAAGTAGTTCCAAAATAGCAAGAAATACGTAGATCGTGGCTAATCGTCAATTACTGCTAATTGGCCTGGCAGAACAACATAATTCGTCTTGCTGTCTTCGCCGACGAAATCGCGATTCTTTCTTCTCTATCCAAAGTGCAATTTAAGAGTACATCAATTCTGTGTCAAGGATACCGTGTTGCGTTTGATACAGTAGCGGGGGCCGTTAATTGTTCGTTGGTTCTTTTTTTATTCACGAAGGTTGCCGAGTAACGGGCCTTAATCCTTATAATTTGAATAGCTTCTGTAATTGAAGATGCATGCGCGTAATTAACGACCGGAGAAGGAAGTTATTTGTACGAGATGGTCCACGACGACACAACGGGACTTCGAGAGGGAAATCTCGCCGGGTTTTATAATCGAAAACGTTGAAGCGTTTCTTCGTTTCCGGTTGTTAAGTCACGTGCCTCGAATACGCTTGTTTCACCGTTTTACCTGAATTCCTGACGTCCACGGATAACGTTAAACGGCTCCCGTCATGCGACGCAGAAAAGACATCGGATCAAAGAAGTCTGACTGAATAAAGCGGTCGAATTCCGATCTGAAATTAGCAGTTTTCACCGCGAATTCAGGATTCCGTGGTCGATAACCTACCATTTTCAAACTGTTCGAGAAAAAAAATCGTTCGACGGTATCGTTTGAAAATGCAGGAAGAAAAACAAAATTGAAACAGGAAAGGAAATTAATTGTATTGCACGAGAGGTTGGAACGCGTGGCGTTCGTCGTCCATTTCTTCATAGAAAGTGTCTTGAATCGTCGAATCGACTTTCCATGGAATTAATGTCAATGGTGTCGCGATTTTGTTTCTTTGCGTTTAGATTGGATGTCGAACGCGTTGCATCTTCGACAGTTCCGTTGTCTGTGTTATAGTTATTCACAGCCGTGCATGGAGTTACCGTTACGAAACGAGTTTACTTTCTCGACAGTTGTAGAATATAACAGAGGATATTGCTATCGGTCAAAATTCACCGTCTCGCTTATTTCCATTTCTCGATGTTTCGTGATGCCCCGGAGTCCATGTAAAAAACCGGTTATAAAACTCTGTATGTATATATACAGGGTGTTTCAGAAAGTTCAGTGCTCGTGGAAACGAGTGAAAGATTCTCAACGTTCAAATATTAATTTTGGAGTTACAAGAAGTCCCCATTTTCTCAGTTTAATTACTTTCCCGTTGTAAATTTTGACAAATGGGAAAAGTTGTGCAACTTGTTAGTTTGTTCGATCAGTTCTGTTACGTTTGTTTGATTTGTTCGATCAATTCAGATTACAAGCTGTTCCACTGTTACTTTCACGTGTTCGATAAATTTCACGTTTTATCGGATCACTTTGATGGAAATTTAGTTGGAAACAAAGCGTGCGTGCAAAGACTGCAAAGAGAATGTAGAAAGTAATACTACTCTAGCTTGCAAAGCAGTTGCAGTATTTATGTCTAATCTGCCCACAATTCGCGCCTATCTCGGTTTCCTTTCGGTAGCGGTTCGAAACAATGGAGGTTCGTTCGAATTTCATTTCGACCGTAAAGTTTTACTTTCGTCATTTTGAGTGGAGAAACAAAGTCACGAAAGTGTTAATATCGCTGGGCAGATAGAAACTGGTCAGCGTCCAACTAATCGATCTCTCGATGCCACTCGTAATGCAATCGCGATGAAGATCTCGAACGTTCGCGGCGATTCTTTCACCGCAAAGGTTACCGAAACGTGTTCCTATGTTAAAAATGACCACCGCGAATCCTTTCATATTCCACGAGACAGAAACGCAGTCTCGAACCACGTGTCAGCGATTGGAAAGTTTGTATCGTAAATAGAAGTAACAGGAACCGAATGTTCCACCAGGATATATTTCAATTTACCTATAATTACCAAAGAATTTAAGATAAATTCGACGACAAACAGACGAATCAATTTGTGAATTTTTTTACGCTTACTGTAAATAATGGCTCGAATCTAGCTTAATTGTTTCATGCAGGTGTTTCGAATCCCCGATATAAACGGCCTGGTAGCATTATTGCACCTCTTCCGAATTAACGATCGTCGTATTTCACGTTGGATCTCTAATATCTATCGATCAAAATCCTTTCGAAATTGTAATCGACGGCGATCCATTATCGTTTTCATTATCTTTCGTAACGATACTTCCCTGTTCTCGCCTGTCTAGCGAAATGTTAGTGAAACGCCTCGGACAGCTGCACGCGAATACCGGAAGTATCTCTGGACGCGCTTGCGCGTACATCCCTATTACGAAATTGTGCTGGCATTACTCAAGGGAGCGTGTGCGCTTAATCTGGAAACCACAGTTACGTGGATCTTTTGTTGATTTTTTTGTGAATTTTATTAACGAGCCAAGCGTCTACTTGGAACTCTAAAACATCCTGAGAGGTTTTACAAATATAGAAAAACGATCTTGCGAATTATTAATTTTTGTTATTGACGCGTAAAGGCCAGGAAAATTTTATATTATAAGGATATTTAATAATAATAATTAATAATATATTATTATATAATTAATCTTATAATTAAATTATAAGATTAAAAGATTATTCTTAAGAGACAACTGTCTTCTTAAATCTCTTATGAAATCTTATAATTAAATTATAAGATTAAAAAATTATTCTTAAGAGACAACTGTTTTCTTAAATCTCTTATGAAATCTTATAATTAATAATATATAATATGAATATTCCTTATAGAACTTACAAGATAGCATTAGGAGGGATGAAACTTGAGAGGATAGTATGTATCGTCAAAATTGACGTTTGATGCTTCGCGGACGTTGCTTGTCAGTCACATTCGTAGGTCAAAGCATACCTCTCGTTTGGTTACTGTTAAGTCGCTATTCAGTTACTTGATATTTAGTGCTTAGTGTAAATCAGCCTTTCAAGTGTGTTGTAATTACACTTCGGTCCAAGAATTGTTATGAAACGTATTGTCGGATACGTATAATGGGATTAGACAAAATTAAATGCGTCTAGGTAGATTTTTCAATGAACTTACACTCCGAAGGATTACGAAGTCGACAAGAATTCGAAACTGAAAGCAAACTGGTAACGATGCAATAGTTAAAAAAGAGCGGTTTGCTGCGTATATAGAAATGTAACTGGTATTTTCGACGATATACAAATAAACTGGTACTCTGACGGAATTAGTCGGTCGATATACAGGGTGATCCATGACGTGTACATAGAAAATATCAGCTTATCCTGCAGGAAACCCGAGTATATTTTCTCTCGATATTTGGAATGGTTTACCATTCTGATAAAACTTTAATAAAAATTCTCTTATTCGTATGCAACGCGTTCAATAACCTTCTGACCGCATCAACATTTATTCTCTTTCTAACGAAATGCTTTTGCAAACTCCTGAATAATTCGATGGAGACGTGCCCGAGGAGCAAGGAAAATTAATCATTCAGTCCCGTTGGAATTTTTGCTAGCGTCTGATTCATTATATGTGGCCAAGCGTTATCTGGATGGGGGAAAAACAGGTTTTCTATTAAGCAATTTAGGCTGGTTTTTCTTCGACGCGAACTGCAATCCACTTACTAACGATACGCTTCTATATCTATCAATTAAGCTGCGACAACTCGAAATGGATTATTCTGTCTAAGGACTCCTTTTTTCAAGGAGTTCCTCCTAAGTCGATTCCAGCTATTTACCTTTTCGTATTTCTAGCTAATGCATGGTTTTACTTTTTGAGAGTTGGTGTCGAGGATTAGGGCTCTTTCACACGAGTGGAGAAGCCTTTATTTTGGAAATATCCTCGTTATTAAGGAAAGAACCCTTATATATACCCTTTATTAACTCCTTGGTATACAGTGATGAGTCTGATTAATCATACGTGCTCGTTATCAAGTTTTATACAGTGTATTCGGTCACCTCTGGGAAAAATTTTAATGAGAGATTCTATAGGGCAAAATAAGACGAAAATCAAGAATACCAATTTGTTGATAGAGGCTTCGTTAAAGAGTTACTAACGTTTAAAGTTTCGCCTGTAGAACGGCAATCTGCGAATAGCTGCGCGCGCACGACAGTGGTTCTCACTCAGACAACTGTAAGGCTGTCGATGAGTTTAAACGTTAATAACTTCTTAACAAAGCTTCAATCAACAAATTAATATTCTTGATTTTCGTCTCATTTTGGCCTCCAGAATCTCCTATTAAAATTTTCCCCAAAACACATTTTCACATTTACTAGGTATTCGTAAAACAATCTATTCTATTTCGTAGCTATTCCTCGCACGAACAAATTTAAACAAAATTATTTGGAATTAAATCGTAACTCATGGAGTTAATGCTGTGTCTACCAGAGCAGAAATATTTAAAAAGAAAAGCAGTCCTCGTATCGAACAATAATCTTCATTCGTCGTGTATGTATGTTTGACCACAACTTGGTATTTGTTTCTCCTCGAAACTCCCACGGGTCGTGGTTTTTTGTTTAAATATTGCAACGATCCGGTCTCTGTTCTCCAACAAGCGTGGACCCGCCTTCACGTTCGAACGAGCCCGCAAGTGTATCGTATTTT